AAGCCCAGTTTAAACACCAGCAATTCTTGTGTAACATTTGTCCTTTGGAACAGAAGAAATCTCTGTTCCGTACGAATTGATTCGAAACGTAGGGACTTGTCATAAGATGCACTCTTAGAGAAAAGTCAAGCAGACCCGATAGAAGTTCGAAATATTGGAAATTAGGCAAAATAATGAGTTAACCAAAAATAAGGCTGCCCGTGCAACTAAAAATTTAAAACTTTACCTAAAAAGGATGGCATTTGATTCAGACTAAGACAATTTTCTTGAAGGTGAGGTATGAAAATGGGCGTTGATTCTTCTTTCACGTAAAATATCACACGTGTTTTCTTTGACAACTTGCAAATTTTAAAGACTAAACTAAAATGGGACACGGTAACAAGAAGCCATAAGAGTAGGTATTGTTTAAATGACAAAAGTAACGGCAGAGTCTAAAAATATGGGACAAAAGATTCCGTCACTCTTTTGCTTGAATGGCACAAGGATGCAATTAAGTCGAAACAAGCGTTTTTGTCTACCCAAATACATGTGTATCTAACGCGCAATACAGATTAACCAATTGTCTCAAAACAACAGGTAGTTTAAAGAAATTCGGATCAATATGCTACATACTATGAGGAAAAAAAAACACTGGAATTCCTTCTGGAGCAAAGAAAATTCCTGGAAAAACAGTGAGATAGTTATTCAGAAGACCTTATCAATTTTTTAAAACGAATCCTTTGATCCTCATTATGAAAAATCTTTTGATGATTTCGTCTTCACTTGAAGTCTTTCATATGAGGTGAAATACTTGTTTTCTTCTATGGTCTATGGGGATTTTAAAAGAGATACAGAGAACTCAATTAATTCTCACTTACTTATTTTCAAATTCAATGGGCTTGAGTTTTGGGTTTTTGCGTCGAAATTATCAATATAACCATGTTTTTCGGTAAGGAATTTCCCGTCACACTTACTGACCGTAGAATACCCTGATGGTATAGCTTTAATTTGATTTGTGACCTGTCAGTGGGTTTGAATACTAAAACAACAGTTCTGACGAGTCAACTACCCAGCTGCTGTCTAAGAGGCGTACTTTTTAAAATTTCATAGAGACAATACACCGGATGCAAATATGGCGCCCGATTTGAGTTGCCATTGTTCTGGCCTCACTAGCCTCTCACACATATAAGAATCCTTTTGTGTTTCCACGCGAAGACGAGGCTAGTGAGTCCAGAACAATGGCAACTCAAATTGGACGCGATATTTGCATTCGGTGTATAGATCATTAAATTGATTAAATGGAGTTGTCAGCTGTTGTAATATGCAACAAATCGGTTAGTTTTCTAGAAAGGACCGCTGTTTGGAGTTCAAAGCACGCCGGTAATGAACTACTGCATGTGCCACATCCTCGGAGACCCAGGGGCTGAGTCGATTTCAAGTTAGGGCATGAAGAGCCCCTGGGGACATTGTCTTAACAAGACTAGTTCCAAACGGTCGCAGTCGTTCTGCCATCTGATTGGTGCCAGAAAATCTTTGTGTTTTTCTGCCCAATCAGAGTGCTTTAGAGTCCTTTCGTGTGTTTTAACACGGACATATACCAGTAGCTCATGCATTCAGTGCTATTGCCGACCTCGGAATTTTAACAGTTAAGTTCGGATTTCATCTTCTGTGCTACTTGGAAAATATTTCACATCAGGCAGATGTGAAAGATTTTCCAGCCAGCAGCGGGCATTATTTCACTCGACAAGTTGTGTTCTCTCAAGAAATGACATGAGACCTTTCAACAAATTCCCAACAAAGAATTCACCTGCGCTGGCTTTGCATTTGGCATTAATCCCGCTAGAACTTTATTCAGTCCCTCTGAAAAATGTCAATTTTGGCAGGGTCTTCAACCAAAACGTTATGGTATCACCTGTACATCCGCCTACAGCGGATGTACAGGTGCCTGAGGGGAGTCGTTTCGGCGCCTTCAGATTAGTGCACTTCTTATAAGTTCTCTTCTAATTTTTCAGAGAAATCTTGGTACCTCATATTTTAACAAAGTTTTCAAAAAATCCTTTAAAACAGTCAAAGGGGTGAGGAATTCAGTGACATTGAACGGAAAAGTGGGAGACTTCCTGTCTGTAGTGGAAATTATTACACCACTTTCATCCTAATTGCATTCCCTCACATTTCGATAGCGACAGAAACGAAAATAGTCACAAATGAGCTCAAAATTACAGAATTTGTTAGGCGGTCTAACCCCTGAACCAATTCTGGCACCTCTTCCGTGAGGAAACGTGGGTTGAAAATTGAGTTGTTTTTGTCTCTTTTTTAAAAAGCTTCTTTCAATATTATTTCTAAATTAAGAAGGGAGGTTCAACTGTTCTCCTCGAGGAAAGCGTATCAGAGCATCAGAGTATCAGAGTAAATACCTGACTGCTAAGACATGCAGGTGAAATTACAGATTTTAAAACTTTTCTAGAAATCTTATAAAAAGAAATAAGATTTAACATAACAGGATTCCATAAAATCAACTGATATTCTTTATCTGAAAATACTTGCTTTATTTCTGATCAGACTTCGCTAAATTGGGAGCATCGAGGGCTTGAGTCACGGGAAGTTGGGGGCAGAAAACACCCTAAAACTCCGTGTTAGTCTTGACAGAGGTCACGAGGCCTAAAAATCACCATCAACTATGCAAAGACTGTTCCTTATGTTAGACGGTTCCTTGGAGAAAGCAGCACTGGATTTCGAAATCGGCTAAAACATGTCAGTTAGTAAAAGGTTTTCTTTTAGAGAAACCTGCATAGTAATTTCAAACTGTATTTCATGGGAAACGTGAATAGTGGTAGCTCACTAGTCAGGTGATATAGTCTGAAATAGCGATGAAGTACTTAGGAGTTTAGAGCTGCGCTATCTCGAACAAGGATCTGTTTAAGCTCTGAGGCTGAAAGATTGAGTAATAAACTGTGTAATTAGTAGAAAAGACACACATCTGTTGTATTTCTAGTAAAATAGCCTTTCGATATGGTATCACGCAAAAATATCTCACTGAGGGTGTTGGAAGTTTGCATATCTCAATTTGGAAAGATTGTTCAAAAGGGGGGAAGATAGATGATATACACCGCTTCGCTAGCAGTTATATACATTCTCTTCCACCAAAGGCCACATAATATTTTAATTTCTACATTTAGGAGTATATGGCTTTCCACGTGCCGTTGTAATACGATTAGCTCTATTTTATCTAAAACCATTTATACTTTTATTTTATCTTGTTTCATCTCTAAGCGACCGAGGTATCAAACATGTGATGTGCGTCACTGGCTGGAGTGACCATTGTTAGAAAGATTGGCTTGAGGTTGAAGGCCAAAAAGGGGCAAAGGAGCCAGAAAAAAAGTCCTTAAGACTTAATAGCTTTATATCACTAATGGCATGCCTATACAAACAATAACCGAGAAAATATCAACACCATGGACTAAGTGTTTTGACAGTATTTTCCACCACAACGTGCAATAACCGCGTGGCCGCAAGCATTTTTATTTTTTAGAGTTTCCAATTAAATATTGTCCAACCATAAGTTTATCGATTGCTGACCCTGTAACGAACTCACTATGGATCCAAAATTTGGATTCACGGATATTTCCACTCTATTGGTAATCAAAGCAACTCTTTAGACCCATTAGCAAACGATATCAGTGACTTGTTCATTTTAATGACAAAAAAATACAGTAAAACAATGTTTCATCACGGTTAACTATCTGTGAAGATGAACTTAAGCCAAACAAACCCGATTAAATGTTAAGGGGTAGAAATAAATAGAAAGTTGAAACAAGTTTTACACGGAAACATGAAATGCTGCTATTTATTTGAAAGATAAGCGCAAAGCTGTCGTAAAACGTTATGCAATAACGTCCAACTCCTTCTAGGAAAACTGTCTGGACGCATTTCAAAAATGTGTCTTATTTGGGCAAAAGGATTAGATGAATATTTTTAAACTGAAAGTAGCTATTGTCTAGTATGGACAAGGGCTTCGAAAGTGTCATTTAATTTGTTTCCTGCTTTGTAAAATTAATGCCCTGCTTGAAAGGTTTGCATTTATGATCAGTAATCCAGAATAGAAAGGAAAACAGAACCAAAGTCGTGGTCAGGATTAACTAAAAATAAGAAGCCCGCGGGTTATTTCCGCTGTACGACGAACCCATTAATGGGTGAGTTTTGATCTTCGTGTTGTAAAACGTACTCAACAATAAAGACAGAGCTAGACAGCTTTTACTTCTGTTGATAGCAAAAGGACTACGAAGAGCTTTGCATATTTCCCCTCAACTGTTGTAATATCCAAACAAAATGTTTACAGTTTCAAAACTTGCAAGCTGCTAATGTCTTTGGATATTGGTGACATTGCGAGAGCTGTAGAGACAATAGTCGCACGAAAAGTACCCTAGACAGTGAGAGCTAACCGTGTTTTCTTCTAAGAACGTGCAGGTCCATCAAAGGATTGTGTTGATGACTTAAGAGCTATATAATACCTTAAAACCCCCTATTATTAAGTAATTCGTCGTCTTCGTGTCAAAAACCACACGCTTGAAAAAAACACACTTAAAAACAAAAACACCAAGAGGGAAAAATGGCAAAAATTTCGATGATTGTCTTGGTTTCCGTTGAAATCTAGTCTGAAGGCAGCTCTTTCTAACTAAACTTTGGTGAATCATTTGCCAAAAAATTGTCTATAAATCTTATGTAACAGAACTGAACAGTTCAGCTGTCAAGTTCATTATCTAGCGCGCGTGCTTGGACAAAGCAGCGTAGTCTTAGTGGATAACATATTTAACAGTTTCGCTCAGACTAACAACAGCTCAGAGTTTTTTTTACGAGGTAACAAAACAAGAGATTATACAAATCAGCATCAATAAATGATTTTACTTTCTTTTTACGTTAATCTCCCAGTTGAAAGCTTTTAGCATGCAAGCTAGCGCTCATATTTCCTCTAGACCAGTTGTTATAACAGAGGAATGTTTGCGGTTTCATTGTTATCTTTTTATTTTGTTGCTGCAACATATATTCATACATGTTGCCGTTTTTGATAGTGATGAGTTTTGAGTGTCGTTCATCGTGATTTCGACGTATTCGAGCGAAGTTTGCAGGCTGGTAGATCAATGATTGGTTTTAACTCATTAACTCTAGTGAAAGATTTGCACAGCTGCACTTTAGAAATTTTAACATCATCATTTTGTAGGCGGAAGAGGAATGCCCCACTCAAAAATAGGGAGGTTAGTATATTTTATCAAGCAGGGAACACGAAAAAAATATCACGTTCTTGTTTTCATTTTTCGGTTTGTTGTTTCAGCATCAGATGTATTTTTGTTGGATTGTGTTAGTCTAAGTTCGCAAAGTAAACACGAATAGGATGACTGGGCAAACATCTGTGAAGTTTTAAAGTGCCACTGAAGCTAAGAAAATTCGCGACTTTGTAGGATATAATATTTGATAATTTGACAATACAATTGTAGTTCTGTAAAGAGAAACTTCAGCGTCACACGCCTTCGAAATAAAATTTTCGGCCCTAATGAACTTTATCTTATTTCTCGCCAGAGATAGAACCAGTTGTGAGATTTCAAAAATTATTTTTTGTAAAAGCTTTTACGATAAGTACGTGAGTTGAAAGGTAATCTCTATTGGTTTGGTGCAATACGCAATATGTAAATACTTAAATGTCAATCATAGGTAAATTCAGCCGTAAATCAATTGTCTTTCCGCCATAATTCGTTGTATCTTCGATTTAAAATGAAAAAAAAAAAAATGTTTTTCTTCTTTTCGAGTACAAAACTATCATCGAAACCCCGATGGTTTTTCTGATTAGTATTTTAAGCTGATGCTTGACAATGGCCATGTTAGTGTCGTGCTAGCTACTCATAGTTACACAAAGTGTTATGCTTGAGTGCATTCTTTTCAGATCTAGTACAAAACAAATTGAAATATGGTTGTTTTGTTTTCTTCTAATTTCAGGCCGTGGTCGTACTCCCAGAGGACTCGTTCAAAATTTTTCTCTGTCAGAAATGCTGAGTATCAACAGATCCGGAAATACTCGGTTATGTTGATCTTGTACGATCGTTTCTGTATTGTCTCATGTGCGCGTTCAACCAGCCCTCTATTCTCATTCAAATTCATTGTGTAATTTCCTTTCAAGCAAAATATCAGAGTAATTCTTCCGCGGATAATTTTGGTGTAATGTTCGTTGTTATGGGCTGTCCAAGTCCGCCTTCTTCACACGACAAATTGATTGTCCTGACAATAGCTATTTAAAGGCAAACAGGAAACGACAAAAACGTCATACGTTATTAGGCTCTATAGGCAACTTTGACGGGTATATGACAGCGGCTCCGCCAATCACCGCACTAATAGTTTCATTACAGTAATTGAGCAGTACGCCTAAGTGATTTATGAATGTCCAGCAGAGAGCGACATCAGGTCTCTATGGTGTATAAATAAAATCGTTTAATGATTGATTACAACAGCAAAACTTTATACTCAAACAGGCAGGGCTGTTTATGTGTTCGACTCGCTTCAGGGTCTTGGGTCAACCGTTCTTCGTACCAGGCAAACAGCGGCGCAATCAAGAGATTGACCAACGACTTTTGCTGGACATTCACTCTCGCAGGTCGAATAATTAATATCGCGCTAACAAAAAGCTCGTTCTGGCTTTGCATTATCTTAAAGCCAACACACAAGCTCTCAAGTACTGTTTAGTTTTCCGTTTGCTATGATGACATCCGTTGAAAGCCCGGAAGGCCAGCTTAACACACGTGCTGGTCTGCCTATCGGCTGCACCACTAGCTCAATACTTCAGGGTCAAGACTTCGATTTCGGTAAGTACCCTCAAAATAGCACTGATTTTTATCTGTTTAGCTCGCGCCCGCCAAGCTAAGCCTCCTTATTTCCTACACTCGTTGACGTAATGGAAATTGTAACGAACCTGTGGCTTCCTTGAGTTACACATTACAAAGTTACCTCAAACATGTCCCGAGTCACATGCCACTCTAAGACGCAAGCCGCCTTCTTCATATTTCCCTTTGCAGACCGTCACGTCGATTCACTCATGTCGTACACTCGTCCGTCGAGCTACTACGAAGACATGCACGGTACAGCGACAACCATTCCCAACCAAGTTCAGACGGGATATTCTCAGATACACACCATGGCGTTCGGCTTCTCGTCAGGTCTACCTCACGGACAGCTAAGGTCCGACTCCATAGAAGTGGAACTCGAAAATAAAGATCTTTGGGACAAGTTCCATGAAATAGGAACGGAGATGATCATTACGAAAACGGGACGGTAAGATGAGACGAGACAAAGAGTACACTTCATTATTCCAACTTCAATAACTCGTGCGTTGATATTTCCGCCCGAAATGATGCCAAACACTCTTCGCAGATTAAAACCTCAGACGGGAAAGACTTGGCTTTCGCCATAATTCTTACTCTTGTCCGTCGAATCTGAAACTGGCTTTTGCCACGCTTAACACCCCCGTTTTGTGGAAGTTTAATGGGAGGTCGAAGCAAACAAATAATTATACTTGTAGAGTTTGACAGTGCTGTCGTAAGATACATGTGTGATAAGAGTTCATGTTTCAACAGTCCTCATTTAAACTGCACTCGATTTACGTAGCTGTCAAACCCTCCAAAACGGTCTAACAAAGTGTTTATTTCCATGCCATTTCTATTAGCGCCGCTGCTTTCTCGCAACATTGTGGAACCCTTTTCGAGGATACTTGACAGTTTATGAAAATATTGGTTTCGATTCGCGCCCGGCATGCCATATGTAAAGAAACCTAAACAGCTCAATAAATTGTGCGTGAATATACAGCCAAAGGCGAAGTGTTACAAGAAAGTAAATACTCGGTTTAATATTTTTGAAAACGTTCCCTTTCACACGACCCGAACTGATTTTCAAACTCACTCTACTCGTAAAAGGCCTAGTAGGAAAATAACCACGTATGTCCCGCCTTGTATGTGGTGATATGTCTGTCAAAATCTTAAAGAGTTAAAATGACGGTGGTACAGAAATTGCTCAAAACGATTCGTTCATGAGAAACCAAACCCAATGAGAGTTCAGTATATTCTTTATATGATGAGACTGCCACTAAGAAAAACCTTGCGTTTTCTTCCTACAGACGAATGTTTCCTGTGATCCGCGTGAACGTAAGCGGCTTAAACCCCAAGGAGGAGTATGTCTTGGTGTTGGACAGCATTCCAGCAGATGACAACAGGTACAAGTTTCACAACTCAGAATGGTCAGTCACTGGTAAGGCAGAACCTCTCATACCCACCAGAATCTTCGTTCACCCTGATTCACCGGGAACCGGATCGCAGTGGATGCGACAAGTAGTTTCCTTTCAGAAGATGAAGTTGACCAACAATCATATGGATCAAATGGGACATGTAAGTTATCTGTTGCTCAAAAAACCATTTCATCACTTTGCCATCTCCCCCGCTGTTAGCTTTCTCCTCGTCATTGTTCGTGAACATGAGCCAGTAGAAGACAGAAAGGTTACTTTGAAATTTTAAATTGAAACCGGCTTTCGTGGAAATTTCGAACATTTACGGGATATTCGAACAACATTCTCAAATAGAATGCAAAGATGTAAGCTTTCACAGGCCAACCACTTCTTCTTTGTACACGCGTAGGCTTTTATCACATCATTGTTCATTAAATTTTGTGGGTGACGAGCTCCTTAAACTTTTCAAAACCTAAGACGTGGCTCATGAAGTTTCAGGGCTTAAACTGATCGGATGGAGAACCTGAAGAGCAGAAATACTTTCTTATAATTCCCATGGTTGTGAACTGACATGTGACAACAGATCTATGTCCAAAGAAAGAAATCAGCAATCTCTATTCTTCGCTCTTCAGATTATCTGTCGGTGTTGTTTGGAACAAAGTGGAAATTATTGGGCCATCAGCAAGAAAAGCAATATAAGAAATTTCGCAGTATCTTTATAGACACATTTGCTTTTTCTTATCTGGATCAGTTTACCCACGTTCATTCAATTTTTCCATAATTCACGAGGCCGTGCTAGCAGAGCAATATTTGATCTTTAATCACCAAACGTTTTTAGATGAAGGATGTCAGACTAACTAAACTGTAACTAAATGTTTAGTAATTGCACCTTAGTTTAACGCACTACATTTCCAAATTCACTTTTTTACATCAGTGAAACCTTCGATCAGATGTAAAAAGGATGATAGGTTTTCAGTTCTGTAGGTCTTACAACAGTATTCTAAACTGCTTTGTTGAGAGGTGACGGAGAAAAAGATATTTCAGCTGAATTGAAATTTCCGGAGAATCGTTTAAACGCAAATCTTGAGCAGTTTAGAAAGGCGATTTTGGACGAAATGTGGTCATAAACAGTGAACGGGCGTGGAATTTGCCTCAATTTGCTCTCCAAACGAGGGAAAAGAAAACACCCGAATTTTAGAGGCATAAAACTGGGAGTGGTTTTGAGTGTAATAGAAATGATGGCGGTGTTTCAACAAGGATATTTGATTTACACGGATTGAATAGCTGACGAGAACGTATTTTAAAATACTGCGAGGTATTTTCACGGAAACACAGGGACAATGAGAGCTGTTTCTTGCTGTTCTAAACGAAACATTTGTTTCCACATTTCAATTCTCGCTACGTCTATTGAATAGCGTAGCATAGGAACAAAAGACTTAATTGCCTTTGTTAACAAACCAAAAAGCTTTAGAAAATAGGTTTCTGGTCACAAAAAACGGCTAAAAAGCTCAGCTAGTTAAATAGGGGATTTCATTAATGGCCTTTTTGTGACGTATACGGTGAATCGCAGGTTTCAGAAGGGAAGAAAACAAAGAGAATGTAAACTTGTCCACTGTATGATTACAAAAATGATGTTCGCGTTTTGTTTCTTCTCTGAAAAGCGATGTAAACAAGTTGACAATAGCACCAGCCACGAGGATGGTTAACAACTGATTTGGTAGTGGATTCTCCCCGCCCCTCCTAAGTGATTGTGAAAGCTTTTAGCTTCGAAATGAAAATCAACACTTACAAATCACAATGGATAAGGGATGAGGTCAAACTTCGATTTACGCATGAGATAAGACGATCAGCAGTTTTTAAAACTTTTACAACTAATGACAAACATGGTGTTTCACAACTAAACTCCAAATTTTTTCATTTTATCATAGGTGAATGTATAGTCGTGGAGCCCAGTTTTGATTTGATATAAAAGAGAAAAATTTCTCAAGATCATGCTGTTTTGAGTTCTCATTTCTTCATGTTCGTTCCTAAACATCGTTTCTCTTATTCTAAAAACAAATCCGAAACAATCAAAATCTGCAAGATGTAGAAATCCATCTTCGCTAGCCTTCACTTATCACAATCAAGATTCTGTTAGCTGGGTAAACTTTGATGGTGTGGGGGAAAAGGTAAATAATAGATGGAGAACACGCCTTTAATCTTAAGAAAATAGCTTTGTTAACTCCTCCATTGCTAACTATTTCTTCGGCATCCATTCTAGATTCGTTGGTCAATGTTTCAAGAGACCTAGCTGAAATTAATTGGATAGAAATTCAATGTTTTGAACTGTTGACACATTGAATCATTCTATAACCACAATTAATGGGCGTCTGAAGTTCATTCACTTTAATCATCAAATCAAACGTAAAACAAACGTTTCTTAAAGGAAATAACTCTCACAGAACATTTGCTCTCTTTCGTCTCGTCATTATCACGTTTGTTATTCCAGCTGGTAAAACATCATTCACAATAATGGCTTTGAACATCAACTATGTCGTCAGGTCTTTGTGCTCATACAAAATCTTAGCCGAGGGCCGTCGCCTTGCCGAAATAAAAACTAAAAGAGTTTCATGTTTGTTTTAAACACTGCAGGTTATACTGAACTCGATGCACAAGTACCAGCCTCGTGTTCATGTTATCCCAGCGAAGGATTACAGTCCGTATGGCTTGAGAAAGGGGTCCTTTTATACCTTCGTTTTCCCAGAGACTCAATTCATGGGAGTGACTGCCTATCAAAATCCAAGGGTGAGTTGAAGTTGTTAATGGCTTACAGCTGAACACAAATACCTCATTGAGGTAATAAAGAAGACGATTAGGGGTGACAAGTTGTTGAGGATAAGTGTCTCTTTTGTACAATGAGAATTTGTAGCTTTGCACAATAACTGAACCTGTTTCAGAACCCAATAACTGAGTTGAAAGCATGCTTGAAAATATATTTTTTTTGATGAACCATCATTATACCCCCAAAAATGACATGGATTTAACCGTGCTGCCGAGTAACAGCCTTTTATAACCGGTCACTAAAACGTGTTCCATTAGCATCATTTGAAACACGCTTAAAAAGGAAGGTATTTGTATTGTGAACAAGCAAAAAAAGCCTGAAATTCATCTGCCTGCGGAACTGATACTACATGCCGCGGGCGCCACAGTGAGTTTCCCTGTCCAAGCATCAACAGATGCTATACCTAACACTGTGCGAACGTTCTGTTGTGAATGTACAATAGAACTAAAAAGGTTAATATCAAATAAAGAAGCATGTTGAAGAAACTCATGTCGTATCTTTGCGAGTAAATGATGACTGTGGCAAACGGTTATAAAATGATTTGTAATCACTGAAAAAGGAGAAAGAAATTGGTCAAATATTGTGATGGCTAGGAGGCTCGGTAATTACACAGCACCTTTATTCTTTCCTTTTATTTTATATTTTTATATTTATTTGTGTTTTCAATATGGGTGACTCGCTGGTTAGGGTTACATTATACCAATCCATTGGTTATTCATTTCCGTATGTGCACGGAGATTGCATTAAAAAGCAATACCTTTTACCATGATCATCAGAGTTCTTCATCACGTTTGAGGAAAAATTCTTACATTCGTATGTACTACTTAAAAGAACCAGATTACTTAAGTTTTCGAGATCATGTTTGGGTATCTTATAAAAACATGTCAGTTTAACATGAGAAATTATAGTAATCACTCCGTTAAGACAACTACACAACCTGGTTTTGATCAACTGAAACAACCTCTCGTCGAAGAAATTTAATGTTTAGGTTTTGAAAAAATTAAAGATAAATTCTCACCAAGCGACAGCCGGAAAAACTATTTCATTTTCAAAATCCTACGTCAGTGATGTCAGCTCAGTCAGGCCTGACAACAATTTATTACAACCGCTCATAATTGATTAGTTAGTCTTTGAATACCCCAACTGTAAGTTGACGATACTTGCTTTTGAGGAAAATGTGGCTTTCCTGATGCCACCAGTCGTCTAACGATGGCTTCGTGCAGTTTGCGAGGATCACCGTTCAAAGATATGTTAGGGATTGGTTTACCGCGCAAATCATCGCATTAATAGGTTTCCGCATAATTTGTGAGTGCTTCCCGAGTACATGAACTGCATTCACGTACAACTTAACCTGAAGCAACAAGTTTACCCTTTGGCGTCGTCCTTTAGTTATTCTGGCAGTAAACAAAAACGTTTCACCGGAATGTTTCATTTTCCATAGTCAAAACTGCAAACGGGTTTTTTCCCCTTAATCGATCAACGAATAACAGCGGAGTTAGACGACAAAGGGGTTCTCCGTCCAACTAAATCTGTACTTACGGAAACCGCACACCGGCAATTAGGGACTTTTTATGTCTAGAAATTCGCCGATAGAAGTTTATAACAAAAACAACAAATCTATTAATTTCATGGAGCAAATTCCACGTTGAAATTTTTTGACGATACGCGATATCTGATAACCTCGTCTAAAATTTGAATTCTCCAGAAAACTTATTATAGAGGATGAGATTAAGCTCGAGTGTCGAATTAAGAAAGGTCATCTCACGAGAAAATAATTTAACAAATCTTTTTAATTTTTTTTTAAGGGTCAGAAATTTCCGTGCTCCTCGCGTTTTGAAGTTATCTTCGGGGCATTAAATGTTTGTGTTTTAATTCTAGATTAACGACTTGCATTAAGCAATTTTCCCGTATCTTAATTAGAAACATCCGCGCATACCTTTACTTCTCGTTTTATGCGGTGACTAGAAGAGCACGTAGTAGGCTTAAGTCACCGACAGAGAGAAGGAAACGGCCTAAAACCTTAACTAACACGATTTGTATTTTATATCTTCTGCAGATTACTCAGTTGAAGATAGAAAATAACCCGTTTGCGAAGGGTTTTCGAGGAAGTTGCAATAGTACCATGCATCATATCGCCATGAAAAGGTACGTGGGCGATGGGCGATGGGTTTATATTACTATTATTTCATCGATTTGTCACATCTATTTTGATAAGCAGTTATTATGTAAACTCCACGCATGTAGGGATTTAGAGTAAGGGCTATAAATAGAACATTCCCAAAGTATTCATTTTTGGCATCATTTTGCTTATTTAATTTTTAAACGTCAGAAATACTTGGGTTTGAAGATAAACCAGGTCTGACTTTATAGTCTCTTTGATCACATCAAAACTGTCACGGTTTGTCTGCGGTTTTCCCAAAGGTGTTTCGGCTTCGTCAAGTTTCACGTCGTTATCACGAGTTATGCAAGAGAGGAAGGACTCGTACTGGGGCCGTTAATACCCGGTTAAATCAGGTCAGAATTGCGTCGGAAGCGTAATCGGGGAAAAAAAAAAGGACGCCAAATATTTTCTTGAATTTTTAAGCATTTGGCAGGGTATGCATTCACCGGCATTTTTTCTTACTTTGGCCGAGCCGGTGTTTGCTATGTAGCTTTTACAGGAAGCGGTTTCTAGATTATAAAATAAAAAGTTTATCAGAACCGGCAACCTTGTGAAAGTGAATGACAGAAAAAAGGGAAGATGGAGAAATGAGGTTAAGGGAGGGGAAAAACCGGACACAAAGACAAAGCATAGTCGAGAAATCTCACGAGAAGGGAAACATGCAGCTGGACTAAACGAGGAAACAACTAGCACGTATTAAAAGACCTGCTTTGCATGTTTCGCAATGCTTTTGACTTAAGTTGCGCTCTCTCGGTTTGTGCGCCTCGCGTTGCAGAAATTCTCTGTCCCACGTTAGTAGGCTGGTGTTTCCAAAACTCATGTTTGATAACTTTAGATGGAGTCAATTGACCTTTTCCGAAAACGGAACAAACCCAGAGTCATACAGCCGCCAACAAATTAAGTTCACACTTAAGAGCGCTTAAAACGTTTAATTATAGCCTCTTGAGTCCGGAGTTTTATCACAAGGTACTTATTCCACAATTTCGAAATAATCTAGTTTACAGCTTGATACGTCATCACAACACGAAGCCCAAGTACCTATCAGACTTTTAAATGCTCAGCGCCATACTTTTCCGGAACCTATATTTCGAAGTCCATTTCAGAATTCTTCCAACTATTTTTAACAAATATGTATATATTTTTTTACCATTTGCGTGACGAGTTGAGCCCTACAGTTAAATGCAATTACCGAAAGGCAGACAGTAAAGTACCTCCTCTAAGAAAACTATAATGATATAAAATAAAATACTTTTAGGTCTTAAGCTGTGATGCCAGGTACAGATACTGCGCAGTTTCTTGTTAACTTCAAGATTATATCAGAATTCAGAGAAAAAATTCAGAATTGAAAATTTCCGGTTATTTAGGTTTTATTGCCTTCCCAGAGATAGTCAGTTCTTCCAGTGTCATTTGTCTTGAATTGCCTTGACTGCAAACCTGAATATAACAAACATGAAAATAAAGATTTTTTAGTTATTTCTGGCCTTATAATTTGCATGATTCTTTATTGAGACGGTCTTTCTCCATCGTTTTATATCAGAAAGTCCCCAGACGACTGTAACGATATCGACGGTCTCTCCCTCTCACCCGCGGGCTCTACGTCGAGTGGCGAATCGTGCAAACGCACCTTCCAGGACTCTCCACCAAAACTCCCTGATATTAACGATCCTTCTCCACCCTTGATGGGGCATACAGGTAAGAAAACACAACTAACACATAATCTATTGTGATTTTTGTTTGCCTCCGTAGTCTTTACACAAGGCAAAACGTTTATTTTTGTGCGAGACTCTCGTGAACCTTTTTTACCGGAACGCGCGTGTTTGGTGTTACGAGTGATGCAATCCTGAAATTTGAACCTGAGAGCCATTAAAATCCCACTGTTCCTCTACAAGTCATATGCGTTAAAAAAATGTTACTTTAATCATTTCCTAATGACTTGTTATTTCTACGGAAGTTTGCACGTACAGTAATCTTGTTTGGAAACGCAGCAGGCCAAAATCCGGATATGTTCAGAGACTAATATTTGGTGGATACAATGGAGATTAATGCCAGAATATGCAGCGGCAGAGTGGTGTTTAAGGACAACGGTTTTTTTAAAGCAACCGCATCTGGTCGCTCCTATCTTTCGGGTCACGAGCGCAGCTATTTTGAATTGGACTTACGGGTGTAGTTCCTTATTAGAAAAAACATTCTCTATTATCACGTTTAAAATAAGTGCCTCTCGAGACTTGCAGTTCAGCAGAACGGAAATTTTGACTGCCGTCACCATACGCGCGGCTGGAGACTTGGTTGCCCCGCGCACACTCACCCCCAAGCTTATAAAGAGCAATGTTTGGAAGTGACTGGTTGAAAATTGTTCAGTTTTATTAACGGGCTATAAAATTATAATCAGTTTCCTTTAAACTTGCCTCGTTGTTCAGAAGAGATATCTCTGAAGAAGGACACGCCATATAGAGCTTTTGACGTATAGAGCGTTCTCAAGGAAAAGGATGATAGTTGCCGCCTCTTTTTAGCAGATCACCGATAGCGAAATCAAATGAAAGGGGTTTTTGAAGGCGAAAGTCAACAGGTGAAATTAACCTTAGCAAGTTTGTCAGAAATCAAACCTAATCGCTACTTTTAATTCATTTTCTCACGAGTGTTGTTTACAAAGCATCTATCTATGTTTCGGTTTAACCTGCGGGTCATATGATTGTCATGGTCTGGTAGATTCCAGGCAGAATTCACGAAACGCGCCGCAAAAAAGGTTTTAATACTGTAACCAAAAGACACACCGACATACTTAACTTCCTTATTGCCAAATATCCGTAAAACCAAATAATAATTCCAAGGAAATGGGTCAACTTGACTCGTGCGTACCGCATCAAGCTGGCTTACGAGGTATCCTTGGATCAAATGATGCTTAAAACACCCAAAGCACTGTAACGTTGACATCCTCTACAAATGTTAATTGCATGGAAGAAATCTGATTGACTACGTACCTTTAATTCAATACCTCTAGATACTCTCTAATTTAGTGATCTTGGAACATGTCACGCCCTTCATTCTAAACAAGATTAGTCGTCAACTAATGGAATTAAAGGACCCCTAAGGTTAGGTGGACTGGATTTGAGCGGGCGCCTGATAGCCTCACGATGTCTGCTCCGTCCCACTTACGTTTGTCATCGCTATCGCGTGTAGTACAAAAGAAGCAAGAGCCAATTAAGATATATGTCGGAAGTGTTGAAAGCAAAAAACAAGAAAAGCGCCAAAGGGCGGTTGCCATTTTGTTCTGGCAACAAAAAGAGTCTGTTTTGTCTCGTTCAAAGTGTTCTAGTTCTGACCAGTTCCATTGATGTTTTTTTTTTTGTTTTTGTTTTTTTCTGAGAACCTTGTTTTTGATGAAATCTATCTGCTCTCTTATGTACAGCATCTGCTTAAGTGAGCTGATCGGGATTCAAATGTCCACATTCCCTCTATAAAATACAAAATCGTGTAAACTTTGGACCCAACCAATTCTCCTTGGTTCTCTAATGTCCGTGTCAGTCGAGTTTCCTTCATAAAGGTTCGTTTTACAGAAAATACAAATATTCGAAAACAACATTAGGAACAAATTTAGTGTAGGCTTCAGTCGCGGTTCCCTTGGTACGAGTTTCACGGCAGTTCATAATTTGCCAACCCAGAACTTTGAGCAAGGGTGAGCATTCAATTTTATTTTTGTGTCTGAATATCTAGGAATGAATGGCATGCCCTTGTGAGTAACGAAGTAGTCATTATTCAAGCACAAGTCAACTTGGTTCCCCAGACTATCTCTGATAGTCCGATCCTGGGTCAAGGATTAGCAATAGGACGGTAACGTCACTAAACTACAGCTGATCACCATCTTTTATTTCTTCTATTTAACAGGAAGTGCATTTGGCCATGTCATGTTCCCTCGTCGCCCGTCAGAATCATTTGACTCCTCTTGCGCTTTCGCCTCGCTTCAAAGCAGCTGTCGTCAGCAGTCATTCTGCTCCGAGAGGCCTGCTGCATCAACAACGCCATCCTCAACATTTAACCTGACGCCACATCCTTACGTGCACAGCCTTCCAATAAACTCTTTAACATCGCTGTCTACAACTAGTGCTCTCTCGCATCCAAATCACCCATCTCGGCCGCTCTTACATCCGGGATACATGGGACATCCCAACGAGCATACAATTCATCACACTCCCGCACATCTTACTGCGCATGTGCACTCTGCGTTAAATGGCTATCCAGACAGTTTAAGAGCTGAAAGACCCGACTACGGACTGGGAAGAGGTGATTTCAGCAAACCGCTGACCATATCCACAACGTTCCACTCTGGTTTCCCGGGGAACCCTCCACCTTATCCTTATCATTAAATGTTATGTATTCCAAATGTGGTCGGGGTGGATCATCGCTACACAATACTAAGACGAGTTCTAGAAAATTAGGTAAATTGTCGTATATTCAGCATTTACTCGGCGTTTTCCTCCATTCTGCAAGTGGAATCTTAAAGGTATTTATTTATTTAACAGGGGCAGCTTTCCAGATCAGAGCTGCTCCTATGACAAAGGAGAAAAATGTTCAAGCGTTAAGACTGGATAGCGAACTCCTGCAATAAGTTTTACTCTTTAAGACAATCAATGCAAAGTAATCGAGAGCAGGTAACTCTTTCTGAAAGTACCGTGGAACAGAAAGATTCCAAAAGGATGCTTGAATGTCCATTGATTGGAACTGATTCAGGCGGAAAGCTCTCGACAACGCCCATTGATGCTTAGATGAGTGTCCTGTGGTTCAAAATTGAGTCAGTGATGTGTGGTCCTTGATCAAGTCACGTGAACACCACATGAACACTCTAAAGCTTACATGATAGTAACATTATAGAAATAGTAAGTCTCGCCTGAACACATCCTCTTTCTTCGCATGACGTTTATTTAAATACGAGGCCTAGTTCACTTTTGCTATTTATGTCAGTAGGGAACATGAGATACAGAACTGTTTTCGGTTAAAAAGGAAGTTAATCTGAAGTGGACATAAGCTACCTCACAAATAGGGCAGCAGTAGCACAAGGGGACAAATCGGCATTGCCGAAAACTTAATTTCAAACAAACATACCCACCTCGAACGAAACGTAACGCCCCCCACTCCAACGAAACGCAAATTTCTAAACCCCTTCAATACCAGGAGGGACCAAAACAGGATTTCTCCTCAGTGGTAAAATAGATTTTTAAGCAGAAAGGTGATGAGAGGAAAGAAAAATATGAATTATTTTTCATTTATCACCAAATTTTCTCAACTAGAACTGGAGGAAATGTAGGACATACATTGAGTGCGAAGAGTTGATTTAGATCTTTAGGGGGTGAAAGAGTCGAAATATTGTCCAACCTTGGCCCTTTCACTCCCAAAGGTAATAAAAGTACAACTTTTCTTTACAGCCATAAAAATTTTCGCGAAACCTATCAATATCAAGAAATCATGAATTTAATGATATTGCCTTGATCCAAAATCAACTTCTCTAAACTGAAATTTAAGGAAATGTTTGGTACTTGATAAGGAAAATGGTGACTTATGATATTGGATTGAAAGGTTGAAGAAAAAGCGTTTGAAATAGTATCTAAATTGTTGCCGAATTTTAATTGATATCCAAGTCGGGGTTATTTCATAACAAGATCTTTTAGATCCTTAGGTTTTTTCACGCCGCAGAATGGCCTTTTTTTTCTCGCTTTTTCGAGTATTATTACAAGTCACAATGTAAAAGAAAAAGAGTTGTAACAAGGAAGAATCGAACATTGTTCAGAGTTTCGTTATTGCGTGACCTGACTAACGCAATGTAAATTTTAAAATAGTACGTTACCAGATATAAGGAAAAAAAAACAATATGAATTCCGAAATAGTTGGGTTTTTATTGATAAATATTGCCACTTTTAGAGGAACACGCTGCAGCTAAATTTTAATGCCGAGATTTAAGTAACTGTATTTATTTCTGAGCTCTTGTTTATATATATATCTCTATGTGCGCAAGACAAGTTCTCAAAATCGACAGGTAAGTTAGTCAGTTATACGTTCTAGTTTCTGGAAAATAGCATATATTGGAGAGTATTTAAAAACTGTAGGAAGAATATAATATATCGGCTTGCTTTTTTAACTCAGGGAACAGAATCGCGATATGATATTGAAATTATTAATCAGCACACATAAAATGGGATTTTAAGGAGCGTGATGCGTTTTATGTTCAGGTTAATTAAAAACCAACGTTGTTTGTGGACGATTTGTTTGTACGAGTTTGTACCTACTAGCACACATTTGGACCCTCTTAACGCAGAAATAAATAGATTGCATTGGTGGGAGTATGCAGGCGTAATTTTGACGGGTTAGTGCTCAGCATTATCTTGATCAAATTATAGCTGCCATCTTGATTTCTACAGGAGTAGAAGCCTGGGGAAAGAACGAAATCTGTACCGAGAGGATGAGTGAATAAAAGAAAGAGAGGGGAGGTGTGGGACAGTTCTTTCACCAATCCCCACCCACTCCCCCCACCATCCACTCTTACTCTTATTCCAAATCAAACAAGCTTGTTAAGTAATAGTCTCCTCACGCAGCCGTTCTTTGTCTCGGCACCCAATTCGCTTGTAATTAACCGCTTACATGCGGATTTAATTAGCATCAAATTAATGACCGCATGCAAGCGGTCAAAGTAGGGCCTATTTACCTATCGTGAGCTTGTGACGTATACTGTCAAAATATTTGTGCCCTTTTCTGACCCCTTTGACTAGCTGCTTTGTTTCCCTGCACAACGTGAACCTTTAGGTTATTGTTTCCCATCACCTGATTCTGACCTTTTTACTCTAAAATGGAAAGGCAATCCAGATTATTTTATTTAGAGGAACAAAAGGAAGTGCTAACCACGTTTTTCAAAGAAGGAATGACCTCGACCAAGAAAGCCATGTGCGACAAAATTCGTGCATGTGCCGCGAGAGTCGGCATTTCCGAAAACCAAGTGGAGGTATTTTTCAGCTTACACCTTAAAAGGTTCCTCGGCCTAGAAGTGATTAACATACATTTTATCATGGGCACTAGGATAATTAATTTCCTACCCTAACTTTCATGTATGTATGTATGTATGTATGTATGACTTTCAAGCTGTTTTGTATAATTTCTGAACTTTTGACCTTTTCTGTTACGATCTTAGGACATCTTTCGACCTTTTTTTTTTTTTTTATTTTATCACACACAGGCTGTATACGTTGTTACAGCGTAAGATTTTCGCCAGCCAGCTTAATTCTAGTTCTGCGTTGTCCGTCGCTTTTCACGAATAATGTGAAAGCCGTTGACGTTGAAAGAAAATTAAGCATGTGATGCATTATGTAATTTTAGATGGAACGACCAGAAACCGCCTTCAACCATTTGAAGCCACCTAAAGCCACCTAAAAACAAACTAAAATTATCTTAAACAATTCAAAACCATCTGAAATCACTCACAAACGAAAAATAATGTCCTCAGAGTACCGTATTCATCAAGTTTTTTACGATTTAGCGCGCGCCTCTGGTGACCTTTGTGATCACTAGAAATTCTTTGGATCCCGGTTGCACGTTTCGCATTGCTGACAATTGTACTGAATGAAAGTACGTTTACTTCTAATGAAAACGTAATGTACCAGGTACGATTATGGAAAATTTCTTGATAACAATTGTGCAACTTTGTCCTCTCGTGATTCAATAGTTCACCTGAAAATGAGATCGACTGTAATATATTCTTACATAATGAAATTATTGGAACAATAATGGCTTTTTTAAGTTGCACCCCTCTCCTGTTCGATGTACAACGAAAAATCATTAATTGAGCACGATGATGATGGAAATCGTTTGTCTTCAGATGGCTTAACAAGCCAATCTCTCAGTCTCATATTGGTTTTTAGATGGTTGTGGGTGGTTTCAGGTTAAGCTAATTGTTTTATTATTTACCTATAGTATAAATTTTATCTTTTATATAATTACAGTAAAACCCAATTAAACTAAATATTTTGAATAAGGTACTTGCAAGGATGTTAATAGAGAAGGATTATATTGTAGAATTGATTCCTGATAATTTTCAAATAATGTTCTTCAAGGCAGTAAATGACAAGATAGTCAATGGCCAGGGCACTTTAGATTTACTCATTCATATATATATGTTTAGTATAATTTCAGAGCTGAGCAAAGAGTTTCCAGCAATCTGATTGGTTGAGCGGTTCCTTATATGACGCTACATAAAGTGCTCCACGCGGTTTATATAAAATGTTAAAATAAAATGTTAATGATGTTACTAAAATGTTATGATTTTAGAAATTTCTCTACTGTTCAGCTCTGAAATTATACTAAAACACTTTTTCGCCCCAGGTTCGGTGATTATTGTTGAATAATTGTCAAATATGGGCATGTATATATACATTTCTCCCTCTCTCACTCTCTCTCTCTCTCTACCTTGCTCTCTCTGTCGATTTGTTTATTTATTGATTATTTTGGCATGTACATTCTGCAAAGTAGGAACAAATAAAAATCAATTTAAAAAGATTTTTGATTTACAGCAATTTACAAATGTTGGTAATATTACAGTTGAATATAAGAGGAGTATTTCTCAAGTTTTATAGCAAGATAAACAAACTTTGCAATTAATTGATGTCAGTGTTTAAAACTGTACCATACAAATGAGTAGAGATATATCAAGAAATACTATTAAGGACTCAAGATATTCAAGAGGCTCAGAACTTCAATGTTTGGGATTACATGCATAGACCTCTCCTCCTAGACTTTGCAAATTCAAAAAGGCGGCATACCGGTAATAGGGGTGTCATTAGCATAGTAGATATTACAATTATTATGATAATAACAATCAAGTTTTTTAATTTAATTATATTGTGGTAGTCTTAATATGCTCACCTACCTTAAAGCAATGTACAATTTATGGAAAACGGAATTAGAGTTAAAGAAAATCTTGAGGGAAGATGTGGTGTCACTACTTGAGCAAATTCTAAAAGCTAAGCAAACATGTCCTTAGGATTGAGTTGACTTGTATAATAACACTTTACTTTTTTCCAATACTTTTTCAGCTACTGTACAATGTCATCTAACTGTTATGAGTCATGCCAATGCAATAAATTAATTAGACAGAATGTTTTCCCAATTGCTGATTTAGTATAGGTTTTTTCATGATCCTTTTGAAATTACAAACTAGCTGTGACTGGGTATTGTCAGTGACAGCTAGTTCAAAGTTTTCTTGTTTGCCAAATTTGTAAACCAGTTGGAATTTTACACTTCTTTGTCTTTTCTTTTTTTTTCAATAATGTGAAACATTACTTTTTTTCTGATCAGCACTGGATAAACAATCACAATGCAAAATGTAATAGTGGTTCCAGAGTGCTTGATGCACAGAAGAGGACAGAAAGGAAACCTGAGTGAGGAAACGAAGTGGGTTTAATGCTTTCACTAGGGAGTTCCTACAGAAAGGTAATCACAGATATAAACTACATATTTAGCTAAAATTGGACAAGTTCCACCACTTTTCTCCAATGGTATGGAAGACTTCTGCTCTTCCCCCAGTCTGTTCTGTGATTATGTCATGTCTTTTAATTCCGCAGAACAGACAGGGGGAAGTGCAGAGGTCTTCCGTATCATTGGAGAAAAGTGGAGAAACTTGTCTAAGTCAGATAGAGATCCCTACAAAAAGGTGGCAACAGATACAGGGTCAGTTGTGTCACCACCCTCAGCTGATAAACAAGCCAAGAGGATAATTGGCAACATCATGAAACAGGTCAGGTAGTAATAATATTATTATAGTCATCATCATGACCATTATTAAATAATTACTATGATGTTTATCACAGTATGTGTTGTGACCTTTGTAGTTTTTAAATGACTGCATGAGTACAATTTACTAAACTACATCAAATGAGATCTTAGTAACAAGTAATTGAAGTGATATACCTGATAAAGTAACTGACATGATTTGGTTTATGTTGAAAATGGCCTTCAATTGTGCTAGAACAGCTCTCCCATCTCTTTTCTTGTGTATCTTTGCCTGAACTTTTCTAGCCCAGATCAGGACTAGAAGTTAAATTTTGTTTAAACAAGCATTTTGTTTTGAATTCTACCATACATTGATTTAATTGATAAAAGTTTATAATTTCCCAGTTTTCTTATTGTTATAATTATTTATTTAACTGGTAGATTGACTATTATCAAATTAAAATATGATATTTATCTGTATGGATTGTCATGTATTAAGATGTGCCAAATGTTTTTCATTACTTGTAATTTTTATAATTGGTCACTAGGTGTCTCACTCTCCTAATAAACGATGAAAATTATTAAAAAACTCAGGTACATTCTTGTTACTAACCCTTATCAATGGTTTACACAGGTTACCGAACTGGAAACATCAGGTGGTCATGCAGTTGTGTTATGTGCATATGATGGCATTTGTTACCAAGGTTCAGCTGGTATTGGTGACAGTCTTTTGTAAACAAACATCATGGAAACATTTGCAAGTAGATTACACAGTGAGTATAGTGACTACAAATATGCATAAATTAGCACTTTACTTTTGGTATGCAGTTTCAGAAGCTCTTCCGAATTTGACTTGTAATGTTGAAATCTTTCTACAACTTCTTCGCTTAAGAATTTGTGAAGTGTGTCTTTGATTGATCCCTGTAGTTTATTGATTATACGTGTACCTATCTCATTTATTGACAACAACCTAGTAATGTGGGTTCTAAGGTGAGCACTTTGTACTTAATTCAGTAAATGTATTACTTGCAGTAATCCTACTGTACTGGAAATACCCACATGCTGTAAAATTACTAAGTCAGTAAACACTTATACTTCTATCTGTGTAACGTGTTTTTCGATAAAGTTCATTTGGCCTTTGGCAAGGAAAGAGAAACACAGAGAAAC